ATTAGGTCTGTCACTTCGATGTATAACCGGTATACGTATAAATGATTTCTTTGACTTATTAATTGAGTAATCACGAGAGCATTTATCATTACATTGGTCATTCTCAATTTATTATAAAACATCATTAAATAGACGTTATTACAATACGATCGCATAACAGATGTGCCTTAGAACTTATTAGAGCGAATTCGTTCACAAAGAAAACGTTTGTTATCTCTTTATTACGCTGTTTAAGTTTCGCAGGTGCAACAGTTTGAACTATGAGCGTAAACATTACTATTTTACATATACATGTAACAAAAAATATCTGCGTATTTTTCAAGTATTAGTTTAAAAAATTGAACACTGTATTTTTTTCTCACGTGGTATTATTAATTCAACGCAGATATCATTTTGATGTGTGCAAATATTTTTTTTATTGTATATGTTTAAGTAAAATTTGCTTAATATTTAATCTGATAATTTTAATTATGTAAAGTAAATATAATTCTTATGCATGATTTTGATTAAATAAATCGATTTTTAGAAATAATATTTTTGAATATCATTTCTTTATTTAATTTCATTATTTAGTTTGCGATTTTTTTTTTAAAGGTACAAATAATTTAACAAGCGAACTAAAAAGATTTGCAATGACACAATTGTTTGTGTTGAGTCTATGAAAACGCGATAACACACGTTATATCAGTGACGCAGTATATCATGAATGTATTATTGCATCTCTTCTTCGTCGAATTTTTCGCAGTTGCGATCAGCTTTCGCGCGGTATTAAACACGTAGGAACGTGATAAAACTCCTTACGATGTGATAATGTGAACCAACCAAAGAATATGTTTACCATAATTCTTCATAATTCTGCCTCAAGAAAGAAATATGTTTCAAGTTTTATTTGGAAAAAAAAAACAATACAATAGAAAACTCATATATATAGTTAATTGAGTTTATTGTAAATATATAAAATGCAACAATTAAAAGAAATCAGCAGGCACTTGTATCAAACGAAAATTTAGGAAATAAAATTATCAGATTTCAGGTTTATAATTTTTTTTTCAATCTTTTTAAATTTCTCCAATCTTTATAACAAGAATACTTTAGCAAGAATAACGAACGCGGCTTTTCGTACGCGCGGAATAAGGAAGGCAAGAAATGAAAGCGGGAATCATATAGATCGCGTTTCGAGTCGTGTTGAAGAAATTACGCGAATATAGACATGAGAGACAGTAAATAAAGCCGTTCTCGTGGATATTTTTCACTCGTCTTCGCGCGACAGCTCCGTATGCGTGAAATCGACCATTTACTTATCTACTGCTGTCGTGTGCGAGCTGCGAAACCGGGTTAAGGTTAAACCATACAAGCGACGGATAACCACCATATAATAATCGCACCGCCGTCAACCACCGGTGCAAGTCATTAACATTAAGAGTCATTTTCTGGTCATTTTATGGAGATGCGATGCAAGTGCGAGTCCCGATGCACATTGCGTGTAAATATAAAGGAGAGCCCAGCCGTCACGCACGCACGCGGTCTCTGCGAAGACCGTTCGATAAAATGCAAAATGCACGAAAGTACAGACCGATCGATCCACCAATGGCCGTACATGTACGCTTAGTTGACTTCTTGGGCACGGCAAAAAGTGAAAAGTGTATCAACGAATGTTTCTTTTAGATGCTGTGTACTCGTCGTTTTTAAATAAAACAATTTACATTGGCGTATAACGGTTATTGCTACGATTATTATTCGAATTTGCAGAATGTCAGTGATGCTCCTACCATTGCTTTCTGTTGATTATTAATAATCACGTAAAATGTTTTATCGTATAGCATATATTAATGTCGTTTATAGCTCTTGCTTGTCTTGCCGTAGTTATTCCGACTTTAATATAATTTTGATCATTAGATCTGTAAAATCTGTATATTATTCTTTTTTTTATATTTATTTATTAGTTTTTTCTTCACTCTGTCTTCCATTATTTTCTTTATTTCACGTTTTGCATGACCATACATGATATGACAAAGCTCGAATAAACAATACCGTGGTTCGAAAATGTAAAATTTTTATTACTGTTATAGAATATAGAGGAAGTTTTATTTCTTACAGATATGATTTCATATGATGTGATTGCTTGCTATAAATAGATAAAATTAGATACGCGCTATCGTATATGATTTATCATATTTATTTATACTGGTTTAAACACTGTACACAACTTGATGTTACAAACGGACATATGAGATGTCATTTTAGTAATAAATATCTTTCTTCTCTCCCTTCTATATTTGTGTGAGTGTACGATAAGTAAGAATAGAGACAACCAAATTATAAACAAGTAGCAAAGAAAGGACAAACTATTTATATGTATTAATACAACAGCAGAAGTAATGCTATCAATTTTTTTTAATACGTGATATTACTTAAGAGTCAGATAACAGGCAATATGATGCTGCATGTTTATCAGCATGCAAAGGAAAATTAGATTACAATCATCTCAAACCTGATTTCTCGTATGTATTTTTGCCAATATTATACGAACATTGTTTTTGTTTGGTTTTTTTTCATTTTCTCGGACAAGTATTAATCAATATTCTTCTGAAAAAATTTATTAAGATAATATCAGTTTAAATAACAGACTGCATTGCAACACAGGAAAAAATTATCTACAATCGGTTCAAGCTAGAAATAACGATTTTTTTTAAACTATTTACATTGGATTAGCACGCAATCTTACTCATGTTACTCGATGCGTTGTAATGTTTTCTGTGACACGAAATGATGATTATTAGCAAGGAAGTAACGTATCAGTTGTAAAACCGTTACCTATTACAGTTATATTTTTTATAACAAGTTGACAACAGTATCATATAAACTTTTTTATCCTTGACATGAATCTAACGATTGTTATATTTTAACGATTTTAATAATTTTAATAATTATTTCCAGTGCTATTTTATTATTTTTAGATATATCAAAATATACATACTACGAAATTTTACCTTTCTTGCTCCAAATAATAATAAATAATATAAATAAAAATATAATAATAAATATATTTTTTAAGACCAGTAATAATAATGAATTACTATTTTTAAAGAAAGATCGACAATAAATCATTTTTAAAAAGTACAATTTTTCTGATGTAAACATTTAATTATTATGTGTGAGATAATAATACAAGACTTTGCGCAAAGCACATTAGTGCAAATTTGCAAATGTTTATCAGTAATTACAATGATAATATTATTTGCTATGTTCTTTTCGTTATCAATTATCACCAATATATTAAGAAAAGAACTAAAAAAGAATGAAATATCAAAAGCATTTTGGCAACAAACTTTCTTTACGCTGCTATTATTATATTGGATTACACTGTGTTATATTGAAAAGATAATACCTTCTAAAACCAAGAACGATAAGATCTATTTTAATTTATATCAACGTGTTTAATCATTATCTTTATAATTGAATTTACATTACGTTACATTAATAAAGTCTGATCCATTCTTGAATATAACTGATGAAAAACTGCAAAAATTTATATATTCGACATTTTATAATTTTCTTTAAAATCTTTCTTTTGATATACGGCATGGCACGCAGCCAGTTTCTGATTATTAAAGAAATAAAAACTTTAAAATAGACAATTAAAATTATAATCTTAAGGTTTTTATGAATATTTTTTTTTAAATTACAAATGGTTTGCGGGTTACTACTCTGTCATCAAATCATTGTTAATGCTAATATTTCGTGAACATTGCAGCTCATTTCATCAGAGCGAGAAGTAATCTGATGCATTTTATACAATCTGTAGCAAATTGCTTCTCGCTTTAATGAAGTGAACTGTTATATTGGTATTAACCGATGGTAATAGTAATGGTTCGTGACAATTATATCACGATAATCATTATATGATATAATTATCGTGATATAATTTTAAAAATAACCAAGATTATTTGTGAATAAAGAAAACTCTATTATGTCAAAATCACTTGAGAGTTATAGTTGTAATATTTCTTAAACATATATTTGATAATCATGATTGATGAAATATTGCATAGTTAACTATTCGATTAGACGTTCCTTCTACTTTTAAAATCACCAACCGGTTTAAAGTAATTACGTGTGAATAAGACAGAAATGACATGCAACAGAAAATTTATCTGATATTGCAATCTGATATTATCGAGTTCTATTATCCTGAAATGTATCCTTATACACTTATTAAAAAAAATGGCTAAGAAAACAAAATAATTAAAATTTAAAATTTTTATAACTTTATAGTAAATATTTGTAAAAAATATGAAAAATCAATGTAAATTATTAAAATTAGACAAAGAAATATATATATGCTTTTTTAATTTGATACATACATACAAAAAATATCAGCTACATAAATACTAATACATAACGATATAAACCGTTCTTAGAAGCAATTTCTACATTTACAATGAATTGAATGACGCTGGATATGACGTATCAGTATTATAATATGAGTATCTGATTGCAATCGAGTTATTATTAAACCGCACGATCAGCTTACCCATTCAAATACTTATTTTAATAATACTTTTCTTAAGTATTTCTTAAAATAATTCTTAATACATTATTCTGAAATTCTTAACTCTCTTTACGAAAAATTCTTTAAGAGTTTTTAAAATCAAATATTGTAATAATTAGGCCTTAAATTAAAAATATCTTGTTATCGTGAAATATCATCTGTTTGCACATCTTCACATAATTTCTGCAATTTCTTGAATTCTATAAAATGGTTATGTACTCAGCTTTTTGCAAAAGTTATTAATAATGTTCTTAATTGCGTTATTTGTATATTTTATTAAATTCCTTAATGACTCTGATAGCCTTGGAATACTTCTCATATAATTATAATTGCATATGATTTATTATACATACATATACGACCATGCTGTTAAAAATCGATATACACACATAATACACATACACATACACACGAAAGAAATAAAGATCGCCGACAAGGCGTACGATGAATACAACGGTGCAACGGTGTCTTCACTTTTGCTATAAAATTGCGAAGTCAAGGAGCAAGCTCAAGGAGCAAGCTTGTCCAATCGTGCACTTCTTTTTACTGCGACGCAATTTCTGCTCGTACATCTCCGTCTCCGTCCATAGCTCGTGGCAGCTGAAACAAAATATGGCACATCTACATCAGAACAGCGTTTAGTGTTTAACCAATATCCTGCACTTCATTGAACGTAGTCTAGCCTCTTGAAGAGGTTCGTAGTACAAGTCACGTCCTTGGATGTCGCTTCTCGAGTATGTATGTAAATTGGAATTAATTTCGCGGCCGCGTCATTGCGCCGGTTTGTACACGCATACGGAGTCTGTTGGACGCGTGTATATCTTCGTTGGTATAACATATAAACGCGCGCAAAAAGGAAACCGCGTGTCATCGAGCGGTGAGACAATTTTACGTCCTCTCACGTATTTAGGCGGACTCGGATGCTGATCGCGCAGCGATAACGTTTCGAAAAATAAGACTTTATCTTTACGATTTCGGTGACGCGCTCGGAAACGGATCGTATAATCGTACGTCGCTCGGAATTGAACGATCTCTCACTCTCTATTATATTCGTGTCGCCTTATATACTGCGGTCCGCGACGCGATATGTTAGTCGCTAGGAAAATTTGTTAGCCGAAGGACAACGCCTATATTATATATCAGCAACTATACCGTTTCCAACACCATGGATGAGTCCAGCGGTAAACTAATTACAGTATGTTATATTAATTAAATTTGCGTAACGTTTTTAAGACTGTGAGGTGTGGTTTAAAAAAAAAAAGAACTTGAACTTTCTTTTTTTTACTTCAAGAAGGAATATTGAATCGCATTATTTATTTTAGATAAGTAACGCGTTAGACAGAGATAGTGTTGAATTAATTTGCATGCATTCAAGCTTGAAAATTATGCTATAATCACTATAGATTCGCAATATTCACTATAGTTTTACTGATATTAAAAATAATATCATTAACACTAATATGGAAGTGTATTAAAATGGAATTAGCTGTACGGTTATAATAACAATTAAGGGCGCAATATCTGCGATAGGTAGATACAGAATAATTGTATTGTTTTCCAGAGCATGTCGCTTTAGAAATAAGCTTTCGCATTTTATTTTCGCGATGTAAAAACAGAATGGACGCTTTTAATAATTATACCAATAATAGTGTTATTATTATTAGAGCCATAATTATAACAATAACGATCAATGCTGAAGTATAGATGTGACGAGTATCGATCGTCTTGTACTAATGTCGACACGGCTTATCTACACGTTATAATCATTTGCATGTAGCCTACTTTGTAGATAATCGAAGAATATTTATAGCTGTTTGGACAATGAATTATGTAAGAACAATAAGTTCAGCTGATGAATTAAGTTTTTGAATAATTTATTAATTCGACGATGGATTCGAATGCAATTATATATCAGCTGCTGACATTTATGCAACACCACTTAGATATACTATCATGTTATAAAGAATGTCGATACACTTACACGGTAGTACTTTTTCAACAAGTCGAGATTTCTGAAATGCTAGACTGACTGTCATGTTGTACGATAAAGTGTTCTCATTTTCTAAGTAAAAATGTTCATGCATTTTTAATTTATAGATAGCAGCTATATTTCACTTTCAGAGAGAGAGAGAGAGAGAGAGAGAGAGAGAGAGAGAGAGAGAGAGAGAGAGAGAGAGAGAGAGAGAGAGAGAGAGAGAGAGAGAGAGAGAGAGTAGTAGTAGAGTAGTAGTAGTAGTAGTAGTAGTACGTAACGTAGTAGTAGTAGTAGTAGTAGTAGTAGTACGTAAGTAGTAGTAGTAGTAACGTACGTACGTAACGTACGTACGTAACGTTAACGTAACGTACGTAACGTAACGTAACGTAACGTAGTAACGTAACGTAACGGTAACGTTAACGGTTAACGTAACGTTAACGTTAACGTTAACGTTAACGTAACGTTAGTACGTAGTAGTACGTACGTACGTAGTAGTAGTATACGATAGGATTAGAGTATAGTGTAAGATAGAAGAGGAGAGAGAGAGAGAGAATTAAACTGTTAAATTTTCCTCCACCAATTCAGTTGCATTGAGTTCAACTTTCCTGCGTGATTTAAAAGTTAACTAAATTTTAATCGCAACACGTGTTTTTATTTCGTTTTCCAATGACTACGAATATCTTTATTGCATACTACATGGCAGGGATAGCAATAAAACAGTAAATGTCTACAAGACGAAAATATATCGGGGTGCGCCTGCTTGCTAATTTTACTCGAAGGTATTATTTATTGCCCTTCTAATTCCTGACGTCATGGCTTGTCGCCCTTCCTGATGTCCACAAGGGGCGAATGAATAATGGAGTTTTGTGTACGAACAACCTACTTTCGAAAGTGACGTCTTTTTGTCAAGCTGTTTGCAACAAATGTTTTCCATTTTTGTCAATATTGTCTACAAATGTCATCTTAATAAAATCGCAATTTGTATTAATAAAACTTACCACGATTTATCTCTCATGCGCGAAGAATACGAAAAATTTTCTTCCATTATTCCATAATACGATTTGTCATGAATTACATTATATCTAATTATAACTATATACTATAACTAATTCAATAATTTCTTTAATTTGTAATAAAAGTGCGATGTTCCTGATATATATTCAAATTCAAAAACTCAATCGACTTGGAATAATAACTAATTCATAAACTCAATCGACTTGGAATAATAACTAATCTTGAGCTTTATGTAACTTTATATAACTCATCGAACGAAGGATATTAAAAGATATCTATTTGCATCAGACAGTGGAATTATACTCAATAACGGTAACATTTTTTGCTTCGCTTTATTGAATCTTATTACAGAAATTACAAATCGGATATATATGTATTAATAACCATTGGCAATTGTACACGCTCATAAATTAGGCCATAATTCTGCACAGTCCAGCAATTGGAACGTACTTTCGATTGGTATTACCTACGCTATTAAATTTTAATAGCTGCAGTATATCGTCATCGTATTTGTGACAGCTGTTATACTAACATCATTCAATATTAAGTGAAACGACTCCTCCCCCGATTTCGTATTCGCAAATGTCACTGCCTACAAATAAAGTGATTGATAGCGACGTGCGCTTGTCTTGCGATCTGTTTATAACAACAAATCAAACAGGATATTTTTTTCGTCGGGGAAAAAGAACGCTCGTTTATGTCAACATATACGTACACGTACATTATTGCCCTTAAAAATATCCTTAAAAATATCTCTTTTTTGCGCAAATCATCGAAAAGAAATGTTTTCTATTAATATGTATTATTGTTAATTTTTTTCTGATTTTTTTTTTTAGAAAAACATGTTTCATGTTCCAGCTATGTCTCTGGAAGAATCACGGAGATCGCAACGCCCGTATCGATACGGGATGGTTCTGCTATGTGTCGGAGCTCTCATTAACTGGTTGGGTCTGGCGGAGAACTATGTCGAACCAGTGCGCTACGTTGGTGTTGCCTGCATAGTCGCTGGGGCTCTCCTCATTTGCGCCGCGATGTGCTGCTGGTTGCACGCACCGCCAACTAGGACAAGCACGCACACGCAACGCACGAATCATCCGATCACGGCACAGGTAATTCACGGACTGTCTGTCGACCTGGCAAATTTATTTGCTTCGTCAAACAAAATCGTCGGTTGCCTCGAATCGAGGAAAACCACGCGAAGAATAATATAGAATGATTCATACGTCAGCATAAGTATACACTTGCCAGTTTTCTGATATTATTAATCACGTATTTTCTTTTTCTTTTTGTAAATTTGCTTTCATTAATCATCGCTATTGCGTGAAGTTTTGTATACGTGTATTTCTATATATAGCATGAGTGATTACTATTAGTCTCTACTACTCTGCAAATGTCACGAAGTAATCTTAGATTGAATAAATATTGTTCAGTAATATCATTAAGTCTTATTGCTTTGTTTAGCAATTTATTACGTTTTTTTATTGAACATACAAAATAAAGACGTTACAAAAGACGTAATAACAATAAATTACAGATATTTAAAATTCTAAGAAAAAACATTTCTCGATGGAAAATAAACAATTAATTATTAAATTAATTATATTCTAATAATATTATTTTACGTTTATTTATTATATTTGATTGATTTAAAAAAATTGAATTAAATTTACTTTTAAAAAATTTAAAAAAGATTTGACATTTTTTTTACACGAATGATATTTATCTTGTTTGTCATTAGATATTTATCAGTTATTTTTATTAATTGCTTTACAAATAACATTTTGCTTTAATAAGATGTTTATACATTTATAACATAATTTTACACGATTATATTAGTATTGCCGATATTGGGAATAATGATAAAAATGATCGATCAGGGACTCTTTAGCAACTCAGAAAAATGCAGGTCGTTGGCGTGGTGAAGGCCCTTAGGATTAAAACGTTTTTAGATCGATCCGGGTCAACCCCCTATTATAGACCACAAAGAACGTGTATTATCTATAGATACACCCTAGCCTAGCAGTAAGCCACAATTACCAGCGACGGTGGACAGAATAAGAAAAAGCTTAATAATATACTCACGAGCCATAGCTCATACTTTTTTTCCCTTTCGAGCCCAGCGAGAGTGAAATATACGAAAAAAAAGGAGGAGGAAAAGATAAAGAGAATACACTTTCATATCAGATAATATATCGCGATATTCATAAATCATGAAAATGTTCGGTAAACACGCCCTGTGCTCGTCGCACGTTTCCTTACCTGCAAAACACGCGCCTAATGTTTGCGGACATCGTAAAAATTTCAAACGACAGAAGTCTCCTCTTGATCGCGAGGCTAAGACTCGCGTCATCTATAGACCGACGCGAAGCCACGATTGCATCATTTGTTACTATCATTTCCTCCTTTCGATTTCGAATAACGGATACATTACAAACGCTTCCACGAATTCCTTTGTGATTTTTCTTGAAATCAATTGTTAATAATAATAAATAAAATGATGCAGATGATTCATATTATTACGATATCTAACTAACATATCGCTATCATGTATCTGTTTGTACCATTTATTACATCAAGAATAATTTCAACATGTCGTAAAAGAGAATTTAAACGTTTCAGTCCATTAGTACAAAATGTATACAAAAATTATTAACTTAATATTCACAATACTGACAGTAATTAATGATCATCTAATGAGAATCTTCGTTTGTCTTGTTGTAAATCTTTTATCTATTTTATTACGACAAATATATATATATATATATATATATATATATATTATATTTTAATTTTTTCCTCTTCCTCTTGTGCTTCCAATCTGTGCTATTTTAAATCTGAAAAGCATTTTTCTCCGTGGAATTATCTCTACCGAATATTCTCTACATAAAATAAACGACCTGTCCATTTTCAAATGTTTGCCTGTCCGTTCTTTATGCTCCGTTACATTGTATATGCAAAAAAGATATAATGCACGTTAGCAAAGGAGGTCGTGGCAGTCTCTAATGTCGATTAGTGCTATAAGGATATTCACCCGGAAGCATGTACCGAGCTATATTTATCATCACTTATCCTTGGACACATTTGCTATTGCCTCATAGATCTGATGAAAATTTTCATTAGAAATAAATTTGACATCAAAACGTTGAAAAATCACAATAAATGTCTGCCGTCTTTTCACTATAATTACGAGACTTGAAATTAAATCCTATATACATTTATTTCCTACTTATTAAGAAACGATGACACATCTAATTATGTATCGTATTATGTCTCGGCTTTACCGCTGCGTTATCACGTAATTCCCTCGCTATTTTCACAAAACCGGTGTGTTTTCCCAAATTGAAAGGCACAAGTGTCACTTGATTCTCAGAAATCCATTTAAATCAATGCGTTAATTAATTTTTTTATTGACGCTTGATAACCTTCCGATAACGACTTATCGCGTTCTCGCTTCTGAAGAAGGAAGTTGATGTGTCCGACATGTAAGAAATGTTTTTTTTTTTAAATAAACTTAACCATTGATAAATTTATACGTGACAGATATGACATTGCAATTTTTTTCTAAAAAATTTATTTATTTGTAAATTTAGAAGTTATCAACTTCTATTAATTGTTTGACGCTGTTTAATTGCAAGTGAATCACTTGATTATTCCACAAGTGTTTTCAATGAAAATTAACTTTCCTCATTAGATCCTCTTACATCTAACATGTCGGTGATACTGCAATGATCTCAATTATATCATCTAACATCGTATTTGCGATCTAATTATCATGACCCGACGTATGTGTAAACCAAGATAGTATATAATCATCAGGAACGTCATTTTCGTGTCTGATATGTTCAAACAAATACAAACAGCATGGAATGTTGTTTCTTCGAATCTTCGAGGTCAGACTACTGATCGGCGACTAATCGAACGCGTTTTAGCAGCAAAAAAATTTCGTAACGAGAGAGGGGACGTCGGGGTCACAGCCGTTCACCTCGCCGTTTCCACTTAGGCTCATTACGCAATTTTCCAGCGAAGCTTTTTTTTTTATCGCCGCAAATAGCCATGGCTATTCTCGTCCATCGCGCGCGCGTTTGCGTCTCGTACGTCACCCTATATATATGTATCTATCTCGCGTGTGCTCGCCCTTTCATTCGACTTACATTCAGCTGGCTACAATGTTTCCGAAGAATACCGAGAAAGCTAGGTACGTAGATATCTATAGACGACCTACGACGAATATAGCACGATGTGCACTTCCGGGTGAATATCCTTAACGCGGCACCGTAGAGTATCGCGGGAACTGCGAGGCCGGCACCTCGCGATCTGGATACTTTAAATAGACCTCTGCGACGACGTATCTCCATGATGATTAACTGTGCAACATACTCTTTCTCATGAACGTATGTTCGCTATTATTGAGATTCGAATTCAACGTCGGAGTTGCATATGCCACTCATATATAGAAATCTCAAAATTCAAACATCTTTTTCATAAATCTCTCCAAAATTCTACATCGTAAAAATTACACACACAAATACAAGTAACAATAATTGTAGAAATTTCTGCATTTCGTCTATTTCAAAATTCTAAATTTAAACTGCGAAACTTTATATAAATCATACCATCATAAATAGAAGGTCTTTAAATCGAAAAAAAGCAATTTATAATTCTCTCAAAGAAATTTTAAAAGATAACAAGTAAAACATAAGGAGTTTTTTTTTAAATTAAAGTCGGAATTAAATAACTGATATTCAGACTTCCTTACAATTAAATAAGAAAAAAAAACATTCAAACGCGAAAATAAGTAACGTAAATAATTACGTATAATTACGATATAAATCCTGCAAAGTTGTGCAAGTGATTTCTGATACGCTGAAGTTACGCTCAACCGATTGCTTCCTTTTACAGATCGATGACCCAATCCACGTGATTTCTATCGAGGAACCACCTGGCGTATCTAGGCAAAAGCCACCGGATTATGAGGCGGTGACGGACGCACCGCCGAGCTACGATGATGCTATCAAATTAAATCCTAGTCAATTAGTCAGGTTGAGCAATGGTAGTACGCCATCGTTATCCTCGGGACAAATTATCCCGACAACTATCAGTATCGTCTCTCCTACGTTAACACCGCCACCGCCATACGCGAGGTAAAAATACCTCATGTGTAAACCTCTTCGATGATGAATTATCAATATTACTCAATAAAAAAAAACAATTATGATATATCTTCATACAAAATACGTCTTCCAAATTATAGAATGAAATTTATTAATTCTGTTTTAATGCAAAAATCTCATATTTTTATTTAATTAATAATCTTTATTTTATGATTACGATATCAAAATTATGTATTTGATTTTGATTGTAATAGTTATATTATTAATTAAAGGTAGTAAAATGTTTCTAAATTCGTAAGAAGAGCTAGCCTTTAATGAATTCTCTTTTTTGTTCCAGGTGAGATTGCAGTGCTGTAAATAGAGACCAATGAATACACAGGTCTGCGACGTGGAAGAATCGACATACACCGTTGTCAATTGCGAAGAGCGATCACGTCTGTGGCCTGCGAATAATACGATGTCGTACGACATCGACAATTCCGTTGTTTGCTCTTGTTATTACGAGATGCGTGAATGTATACGTATATAGCTGCGCAAAATGCGATCATGTCGAGGAGAGGAAGTTGAATCATTCAAAGATTGCTCAACACTTCCACAAGCAAGAATCGAACGAGGATCTCTTCGCGACATCTTAAATGTCGAATGCTTAGATTATTAGCTATTGGACACTGTGAACCGTTGACACCAATGTCGTTTAGTGCTCAGAACGGTTAACTCTTCCTTTGTAAGTACGTAGTAACGTCTATTACGTTTCAAAAAAAGACAAGAGATTGTTGAATAGAGTCCATTTTAATCATGGCGATATCGGACTTTATTCAACACGGCCTAAAGGTTTGCAGCAATCGTCGATATTTTATTTATCGTTATATCACGATTTATATTCCGAGCTTCGCTGTTTTATTTGTTGAAAGTCGGATGGATCTCTCTTATAAAATCGCATCTGGGAAGTAGACTAAGGTGATAACGGCGTAGTAATACACAATGCACAATTGCAAACATATAGGCCTGTTGTATATATTGTACTTTTTCATTTTCAATGTAATCCGATAATCATTTCAACGAGAATCCATCTGCGATAAATTACGTCATGGCAATCGCGGTTTCTATCAACCGCACTGTTGCTCGGTCGTTCTGTAACCGCGAGAATGAAATAACGACTTTTGACAGTTGTATATTTTGCGATCGGTTCAGCTGTTCATTTAATTTAACGGTACGAATCGCGCCTGATTGATGCCGATCTGCAGAAACGGTAGTCTCTTAAAGTTAGTTGACGGAGCAAACACGCATATTTTAAAATATGCATTTTTAATTCATCTTATTATAATTGTTATTTGAGATTGTAATGTGAACTAAATTGAAAATGTGAATATAAATCGAAAAGATCGCGCTAAAATACAATAAATCGCATCGATTTATGATCGTAAAATTTATCGCTCCGATATTTGACTTACGTCATTTTCAAAATAAGCTACTCAACTATGCGCTATTAAGTTCATATTTTATATGCGATGGGAATTACTCGCGATAGATTTTCTCACTCTAGGACGTTGTTGGGATGTCGCGACACGCGTCCAAAGAGAGGATCGAGTGTCCCACAATGATTCGAAGAGGAATCACAGTAATAGAGCATTTAGCGCGTTGCGAGCTCAGCTGCGCGTAATTTACTGAAGAATGATCTTCTGCCATATCATCTCAGTGTCTATCTCTTTAAATACGCACACGCGCGCACAGCACACTCATGCGAAAGCCATTCGCACGTCCATTTTATTGTGATATATACTATACATATGTACGCAGATATTAGATATTATGAAGCAACACTGTCAAAACAATGGCGATGCTTGTAAAATAAGACTTTTTTATATCGAAAGTGCAAATATAAAATATGAGATTTTTCTACGGCAAATTTCTCTTATTGTTCTCTAATCTTTCATTTACCATTATTTCCCGCTAAATATTCAATCTTGTAAAAGATCGCGTATTTTTATTATCTAGCATATAGTTTAACGTAATAATAAGAAGAAGAATATGTATTTATAAATTTTTTATGGGGTCATTGCCGTTGTTAGATTTAATTTTTCTTTGACTCATGCAACTCACACAAAATCTTGCCTTACAACAAATAAATTTCAAGAGGCATGTTTCGTACGAGTATAATATATGCAAGGAGAAATAATTAATATTCATCGATAAATACCCTTTATTCAATCGGAGTAACATTTATACTTACTTAAAGCATGTTATTGAACTTATATACCTGTAGATTTTTTTAACGGCAACAATCATAATCGCAATAGTGACGAAAACGTAACGACAATAGTGACAATAAGTCGATAGTAATAATAATAATAATAATAAAATAATACTGATTATAGCAATAATAATAACAATAATAATCGGACTAGAAGATGATAATGATTCTAATTATAAATATCGCAGAATATATTAATTGCAACGCAATGAAAAATAGATTCCATTGCAAAGTCAAAATATAGTTACTATTGATTGTTGATTACTTGTTTTCACTCATTCTCATTTCCTTTTTACATGCCAATTAAATCGAAATAAAAGAATTGAAATATTTGACGACAGTGACAATAATAACCATAATTATAATGACAATGATAGTGACAGGAATAATTATAACGTCGAGATTATTCGTAATTGTCGGTCAACTATCGCTATCTGTAATTTGTTATTACTCTCACTACATGGTGGTTGATTAAAGTATATTTACTTCATCTGCACGCTTTTTCCAACTCAGCATCTCAGACAAACAATTAATTTTTCGTTTTTTTTTATATACATCATCTGATACACGTTTGTATCAAACATAGTAAAATTATAACGTAACATTTTATTTTGGCAAAATTATTGATTATCCGATCGACATGTCTGCCATTAAATGATGATCCGTATCTTGTGATTTTATCTTTGTGATGTTTGAAAGAGAAAATATAAGAATGTTAAAATTAAATATTAAACCATCTAAAATATATTAATAATACTTGAGAGCGGCAGTATAATTGATGTTAATTATAATAAATACGTATGATAAAATAATAATCTATAATCGTCCCATTAACAAATGCTTCCTTTTTATTACATTTATATTTATTGTAATGAATTCGTAGTCAAGTTATATATGTTTTAATTTTGTCTCCAGATATTAAACTGCTAATAAAAGTCTTTCGCATCTATGTCGATCGATCGACTTATACGTGAGTGTAAAAAGTCAAACAGCAAAAATAAAAACTTCTGGCATGTCTTATATAGTAATAATAACACTCACACAACTCCAACGAGAAGCGACGACTGTTACGACTCAAAGTCGGGCTTTTGATATTTACAAATTTCTGTAGTTTCCCCGCATTTCTCGTTCCAGCAGCAAAATAAATGTTTAATATAAACGAAAACAAAGAATAGATCAACAAAAACAGTAATAACCGCGCCGATACAAATGTACACGTGTTTCACGACGCGGTCGTAAGTGATTGCGAATATACAGGGGAGAGAATGCGACGCATTCTGAAATTATTGCACATACGAATGAATATCCTTCGACCGAACTGGTCGCATCGTATCCTGAAGGAATGCAAAGCCCGATCTTTCCTTGTGTCCTTGATGAAACGATCGAGACTGAATTACTCGCCTCGGACAAGCATAAATTCGACAGAGCATCATACTTACGATTGACAGTTGTTAATGAAAAGGCCACGCATGACCTCGTGAGCATTTCTTTCTCTTCCTTTTCTCTCTCTCTCTC